CTATCCAGGATGCAGGAATCCAGCCAGCTGCCATCAGGACAGGTGCTCGTCATGGAACAGGGTGAAGCTCTCAGACTTGTTTCCCTTGTAGTCCCGTGGTTGGAAAAAATGCTTTCCAGTCGACTAATTGGAGATTTGCTGAAAGGTCAGGAGGAGCTGATGGTGTTATTATGTCCAGACTTCTCTGTGGCTCAAGGCTTGTACATTTAGTTCCAGCAACGTCCTGCAGTAGGGTCCTCTTGCCTCCTTTGGTGCCAGGAGAGGGGTGCCAGATTTGTCACTGTATATGAAGGTAACCTGAGATCTCTCTTGCTTCTGGGCACTCGCAGGAATAGACCAGGCTGCTGGAGGGACAAAGGGAATCATAATGTGGAGGAAGGGCCAAGAAGGTGTATGGCACAAGATCTCTCTGCCTATCACAGAGAGCCTGTTTAGTATAGTACATAGGAGTTTGCTCAAGGCTAGCGAAGCAAAGCAAGAATAGTGGAGCTGAATATCCAGATTCTCTTCCTGATGTGGGCAGATATTATGTCATGGGGGACACTGCATGTTTAGCCCTAAGAGTCAGCCTGTCTGGTTTTGGAACCACCATCACCAGATGAGGGATGGCTGCTGGATATCTGGAGAGATGTCTCCATAACAGCTGATTCACAAGCTCTATGTCCACTGCAGTTACAAGATGCAAGTTTTTCCTCTTCCATCCCTGCTGTGCTTTCCAAGGGTTTAGATCTTGCTCGGACATGTTGCTGCTTCAGCAGCCAGGCAGGGTGTGTAGGATGCTTTGACAAGTCTGGTATTAAAAAACACCCCACCTTTCAAGAGCTCTGATTGCAGATCATGAGCAGACCAGAGCTGCTCTCTCCTTCCTTATTCACAGAAGGAGATTGAAATGATAGTGTATATCTGCTCATAAGTAGAGTTGATATCCCAGTACATGCAGCAGTACTTCCTTTCCTTTGCACCCTGCAAATGCCAGGCTGCCTCCATCCAGCCTCCTTACCTAACTGAGCCGAGTAATATGGTCTACAGAGCAGCCACAGGTGCTGGCTGCTCTCCATCTTTTCTCAGTGACAAACAATGGAGATGCCAGTAATGTGCTGGTGTTAGGCTCAGGGCTTCCAGGGCTTAGCTCTTCTTGGGCTCCTCTCTTCCTAGTGTATGGTTCCTCAGCTGCTCTGCACACAGCTCTGCTAATGCATATCAAACATGGGTAGCCCTGGCAGTTTGTCCATCTGCTCCACCAGCAGCAGCTCTCACACCTGCAATACACCACTTGGAGCTCAGGTTGGAAGTGAGATGCAAGAGGTGGGGATATGTACACCCAGCATATCCGAGCTGCACCATGCTGCTGTCATGGGCTGTCAGATGGCAATCTTGTAATAACCTTCACCACTGGTGGTCAGAGTTTGATTCCGCATGCCGTTTACAGACAGCCCTGAAGATAAAAAGGTCCGCAGTGAGCTAGTGCTCAAACATAAATGTCAAACCAAGGTTGTTCTAGCAGATTTCCTCACGAGACTGGTGAAGGAAAAGGAAGGAAGCTGTGTTAAGAGGTCTTCCTGCCCACAGCAGCAGCAGCACAGTAAGTGATACAGCAGCCACACAGTAAGTGGTACAGCAGCTTTTTTGCTAGTGGAATATCTGGGGCAGGAGGGAACAGCCATTCAGCTCATTTGAGGTGCCCTTGGTCAGTATGTCTCCCCCACAAGCTAAAGCTGGCCAAAAAGGGTCTGTTGCAGCGTGCCACATCTTGTGTTCTCACTTGCGTTTTTTAATATGTTTTATTTGTTCAGATAGTTTTAATATTTGTTGGTGATAATGCTCATTGGCAGCTATCTGAACACAATCCAGTGTGTGCCAAATGTCCATGAAGGCCAGTAGCATTCTGGCCTTTATCAGTAATAGTGTGGCCAACAGGACTGGAAAGTGACTTTCCTTGTACTCAGCACTGGTGAGGCCACACCTCAAGTGCTGTGTCCAGATTTGGGTCCTCCTCCTGTCATGTGCTGGAGCACATCCAGAGGACAGTACAGCTGGTGAAGGGTCTATAGAACAAGTCTTAGGAGGAACGGCTGAGGAAGCTGGAGGTTTGTGGGAGACCTTACTGAGCTCTACCAACTACCTGAGAGGAGGTTGTAGCAAGGTGTGGGGTCAGTCTCTTCTCCCAGCTAACAAGTGATAGGACAAGAGGAAATGACCTCCAATTGTACAGGGAAAGTTTAGATTCTCTGGATCTGTGCAGTTTACTGTGCATCATCCTGCAGATAATGATGAGAGGGGGCATGAATGGGGCATTGCAGTGTTGGGAACAGGCTGGAAGCAGGGTCATTAGCAAAATGCTGATGCCCTCTGCAAAACTGCATGGGCCTTGGTGGATTGAACCTTCTGGTGACCAAGTACCTGCCTGCATTGTTTGCAGTGTTAGGAATTGAGAAATACTTCTGAGGACGTGATGCTTTGGCTTTGCTTTCAGTTCAGCCAGGCTTTAGCTGCCCTGATGCTGCTCTCTGGAGGCCATTGCCTTCCTGCCTGCCTTCCTGCCTTCCTTCCTGCCTTCCTTCCTGACTCGCTCCCTCCCTTTCTCCCTCCCTCTCTCTCTCCCTCCCCTACATTACTGAGTACAGACATGGTGATAAGACTGTAGAAACTGAAGAGCTGGCTTCCTTGTCTGCAAGGCTGGAGGAGACCAAATCAAGCCTTGTCTTTTCCAAAAATGCAAACTTACCTTTGTACTCATCTATTAAAATGAGGTACGGCCCAATGGGCTGCTTGTGCTACAAGCACTATCAAAAACTCCAGTTTGTCCAGAAGATAAAACCTATGTCACATCTTACATGCATTTCCCAAATAAAAAGGGAAAAAGTTTCTGATAAATTCACCTGTATGTGTGGGCCTTGGGTTATTGGAAGTTTGGGCCAGAGTGATACCCTGAAGGTTCTTTGATATTACTGACCTGTAAGAATGTAAAAGAGCATGGGAAGGGAGGAAGATAGAAGGAGAGCAGATATCAGTCTGCATGGTGAGCAGCATGCCCAAGTCCTTGTGGTGGGTAGAGGAGATGTCTTGTACGGCATGGGAATCATTGGGAGTGGTGGTGGTGGTGGTGGTGGTGGTGGTGGCTTGTGTGTGTTTGCAGGCTGCCATGGTCAAATCCCTGTGCCTTGGGAGCAACTGAAGAAGTTTGCTTCTACCTAGCTGTGGGTTTTGGTGTTTTGTTTTTTTAAAGTTGGCCTTGAATAAATCCTCTAGCAGCTGAAGAGAGGTGGCAGCTGGAGGGTGGGAAATGAAGCCCTGTCTCTGGAGGAGGGGAGCACTGGAGCTAGCCAGACTCAGCTCCTTCCACTCAGGTCTTTGTGTGCTGAGCCACTGCCACTGAAAATGTTGCAGCACCTTCCACCTGTGGCTTTCAACAGACTGCTGCAATATCCAGGCAGCCTGTCAAGCTTTGAGAGCTGGGCAGGAAAAGGATGAGCTTTCCTTAAAGCTCTTTCTCCCATGAGAGGGAAGTTTTGCTCAGGACAGGTGGGATGATCTTCCTAGCTCTCCTCTGCCCTGCTCCAGCCTCTCCCAGCTTCCAGCTCTCCCAGACCGCTTCTACCATATTTTCCTGCCCTGGTTTTACTGGCCTGGTTCATTTTCTTCTGTAGGACTCACAAGGGGTTAATTTCAATTTGCTACAGATTTGGTGGAACGGGTGCTTAGCAGAATGGTTCCTGTGGGGAGACCAGGTGGATCAGCATCAAGAGAGTGGCGGGGGTAATTGAGTTGCCAGGGCTGATTGATACCTCGGAGCGCTCAGAGGCTGTCCTTAGTGGAGAGCAGGGAATGCAGAGGGTCCTGGCTAGGTGGTGGCACCTGCCCTGCCATTGCAGCCCTCTGGGCTGAGCTGCGAGACTCGTGGAGCAGTAAAGCTGTGGGGAGCAACACCCTACCACACGCCTCAGGTAGCATTGCCGTGTCTCCCACTCTCTGCTTCAGGCCACTGTCCCCTGCTTTCCACTGTCCCCTTGCCCTGACAGCCACGGCATGGCCTGGTACTCATGGCGAGCCTACTTAATTCCTGGTCTCTGTGTTAACAGCCACCATCCGGATGCAATGGAAACCTTTTTTAGGCGGCACTTTGGGCGGAAGGGGCTGCGGCGCAGCAGCGTGGTGGCTGTGCCCACGGGCAAGGTCAGGCGTCGCTCCCAGGTGGGGCTGCCCTCCACCTCGCTGGCCCAGTGCCGCCGTGGCTCAGGCACCCCAGCAGCATCCCTCTCCTGCCTGGGCCTGGTGCGGCGTCCCGGCACCCGCCGCCGCTCCAGCACCACGCCGCCCTGCCTCAGCCCCAGGTTTGCCGTGCAGAAGAAGCGCGGCGGCCAGGCACAGGCCGTCGATGCCCAGCTGCTGGGTCCCAGTGTGCTCCTGGCCAGCCTCATTCCCACGGGAGAGGAGCGGGACAGGGCTCATGGCACTGACAGCTCCAGATCTGAGTCTCCAGAGGACGGTGGTGCAGCAGCAGGAGCTGAGCAGGGCCAGCACGAGCATTGTGCTGAGGAGATGTGGCTGGCCATGGTGCCCCAGCTGCGGCCGCTCCAGGCAGGGCTGCTGTCGCGGGGCCCGCGCTGCCTGCGGCGCTCCTCCTCCCACCGCCTGCCCACCGAGGTCACATACGGCCGGGCTGCCTACGGCCTGCCAGGCCGCTACCGCCGCCTCAGCCAGCGCCGCCGCTCCAGCGATGCCCCTCAGCCTGCGCTGCTCCCCTCTGGCCACCCACGGCTGCTGGCCCAGCACTCTGCAGGAGTGGCCGGAACCAGGTGCCCCTCTGCCGCCCTCGCCGAGGGCTTGGGACCGGAGCCCGCCTGCCACACCACCCCGGACGGCTGGAGCCCCCGGCTGCTGTATGTATGGTGGCAGCGTGCAAGCAGGCAATGCCTCGGGGAGGGGAGAGGTGGGCTGCAGACCCAGGTTTGGTGGGGAAGGGGGGGAAGAGACTCAGCACCGTTGGCCCTGGCTGCCACCAGTGTCTTGCAGTGCTGCTGGCGTACCTTGAGTATCTTCCACTCGGGCTAGCATTGCCACTGATGCTCTTGGTGCAGTTCCTGGGGCTTCTGAGTGTCCTCTCCTGCCAGGCTAGGACCAGAGGAACGTGGTAGGCCTGGTTACTGGCTGAAGATGCACAGTTTTTCCTGCTGGCTGGATTTCCTGCTTGTTACCTCCACCCTAGCACACCTGGGAGAAGCTCACTAGCCCCAAACAAACAGCTGCTTTTATTCTGGCCAGTTGTACTGGTGTCTGGAAACAGCCCAGGCTCCAAGGTGCCTTGGTATGGGAGAAATGCTGGGAGACTGTTAGACAGGGGCTCTAGATTGTCCCTGCAAAGGCAGTCCCACTGCCACAGCTCCCTGGACACTCCCAGGGTGTTTTACAATGGAACTCCTATCCCTGAGGGCATTAACCCAGCAGTCCCAGGCTGTGACTTTTGTTTGGTACAGGGTGAGCTGAGCTGTCAGCAACATGGCCAGTACTTCTTCATCTCACAGAACTATCTCACAGGACCAGGTACTTCTCAGCCAGTTGGGATGGAAATTCACCTTATTTCCAGCCACTTGGTCCTGAGGAGAGGATCCAGTCTCACGTTGCATCTTAGAAGCAGGTTGTGTTTTGCATATATATATCTAATAGCCAGCCCTCCTGTGTCTTCCAGGAAAGCTATTGCCAAATCCAGTCTCCAGCACATGGTAGCCCAGCCAAACCCGGCACTAGCCATGAAGAGCGACTCGGAGAGGCAGATACGCAGCACTGTGGATTGGAGCGTAAGTTGTACTGTGTTTAGCTGGGCATTGCACGGAATGGGCTCTTGGCCAAGAAGCAGCAGGCTCTTCCCTGGGTTGAGGCTTCCCAGGTGACTGACTTTGACACATTTATGGCCTCTGCCATTGCCACCAGCTGGTGCCAGCATCTGTGCTCCTGGCAGCGCTACTTGATGCTGCAAGAGAGAGGCTGTGGAGGCACAGGTGGTTCCTGGAGGGATGGCATAACTACTCCACTGCCAGCTTTCCTGCTTCTGACAGCCAAGATCTGGTGGCTGGGGCCAGGCAACAGGAGTAAGCCCCTGCTCCTTCACAGGCAAAGCCTCACAGGTTTTAAGCTGCACCTTCAGGTTGTGGAACAGAAGCTGGTTCAGGAGAGTCCCCTACTCTGAGTTTGCCCTGATGCCTCCTCTCGGGGTGGTGAAAACAGCTCCCCTGTGCAGGACACTGCAGGTGGTTTGTAGGTCTTGGAGTGGGTTTCCTGAGGCCCTCTTGTTTGCAACAGGTGGGCCATGGCAGCTGCTTTGTGAGATTTCCTCTCTCCAGTTGTCCCTAGCTGTTGTGTGCATCTTGTCTCCTGGCCCTCACCTAGCTCCAACCTCCCACCCCCAGCATTGTCCAGTATCTTATCCCTTGCACAAAGCATTTTAGGGGCTCAGGAGCCTCTCTGAGGGTGCTCTCAGAGCTTGTGTTGTCTTGTGTGTTTCAGGAGGCTGCGGTTTATGGGGAGCACATCTGGTTTGAGACCAATGTCTCTGGGGACTTCTGCTACGTTGGGGAACAGAACTGCATGGCAAAGCTTCTGGTGAGTCACCTGAGGCCACCCGCCTTGCCAGCAATGGCCACAAACCTGGCTGTGCTGTCACCTTATGGGGAGACTGCAGAGGCCACACTGCTGCTGCTGCTGCTATTGGGGGACATGCAGGCGTCTCGGGAGCTGCTGAGGCAGGGACTGTGTCCCTCCTCCCTCTGCTTACCGGAGGGCCAAGTCCCCAGTTTCTGCCAATGCTGGTTCTCAGTTTGCAATGGGAACCTGATGCACTGAACCACTTGCCTGGAGGGTTCCAGAGAGAGGGTATTGGGATTCCACACCTTTGGAAAGATAATCTGAATCCAAGACCTTTCAAAGAGGAGAGAATTGAGCTCTGGAGACCCAGGCCTATTGCCTCCTGCCCCTGCAGTCCTCCTTCCCAGTTTGCAGGCTCAGTCCTGCTCGTGGTGCAGGACACAGAGCACTGATGCCACCCTGCGCCTGTCACCCTGCAGGTGCCTCCCAGACCAGCTTCCATGGTGCTCTCAGGCAGTGTCAGAAGAGGACAAGGACTGCAGGACAGGACAGTAGGGAAAGTACCTCCCTGCTCTGTTCCAGGCTTGAGAGCATCTGCTATAGGCACATGTTTAGACGCCTTCACTAGACAAGAAGTCTAGGTTATATCTAACTTTACTTAGGCTTTACGTAGGGCTTGTTCTTATCCCAATACATAAGGAGGTATGATAGGAGGCTGAGCTTGCCAGGCTCTGAACACTGCCTATTTTCATTCACATATATGTTTTTCTCCCCTTTTCTTTCCCTTCAGCAAAAGCCTCTCTCCAGGCGTAAATGTGCAGCCTGCAAGATTGTAGTGCATACACCCTGCATTGAACAGCTGGAGAAAGTGAGTAGAGCCTGCTAAGCCCTCCCTGCAGCTCGCAAAACTGTAGCAGCCTTTTCTTGGGCAGTGAAACACAAGAAGACTGGGGAACTACAATGTGTAATTGCAAAGAGGGATCTTCTGAGGAGACAGTACCAAAATGAGCATCTGGTGACATGACTGGGACTCCAGGCCCATTTTGTTCAGTAACCGAGACATGTGAGGGTTTTGTGTCAAGTACCAAACAACTGCAGAGGTTTTGGGCCTTGCTGTAGTGCAGTAAATCCCAGTAGGTTTCCTTCAGGTACTGTGGTTTTACTGATTCTTCTCATGTGTTCAACTTACAGATAAATTTCCGCTGCAAACCTTCCTTCAGGGAGTCAGGATCTCGGAACATACGCGAGGTGAGAGATGTGCCTTGGACGCCCACATCAGCATCTCTCATTTCAGTTTGGTAATAAAGACACCAGATGCTGCCAGCGTGTTGCCCATCTGAGTGGAGGCGTCATGTTCTTTCCTGTTCCAAGGGGGTGGTGCCATAAAAGGGATCTTTCTTTGCAAGGCAGCAGCACAGAAGAGTGAGGAGTTTGCAAGCAGCAAATGCAGAACATCTGATGGTTTGCGTGTTCTCCTGGATCTGCATGGGGGCAACCTACAGACAGTGTTTTCTGGGAGAAACTTTGCATCTGTGTTGGATCCCGTGGCACATAGATGAGGCTGTGGCAAACAGCAGGTCCTCAAGTCTCCTGCAATTTGGAAGGAAACAGTATGGGCTCATTTCTGGCTTTACCATGCAGCCCTGACCTGGGTTCCCCAGGTGGCAGTGGAAGTTGCCCACAGTAGTGGTATCAGACCCCTTCAGCCCGTGTTGTAATGTACTGGGCGTAAGCAGTGGCCTGGAACCTGTGTGCTGACCTGCACTGGTGGAAGCAGGTGTCAGCCTTCATGCTTCGCCCTCCAGCCCATGGAGCCTGTACAGTGCTCTGGACTGGGTGGCTCAGTCACCCACAGTCACAAAACGGCTCAGGCCATTTTGGTAACAGAGCTTACCCCACACTGCTGTGCTGGCACAGCAGACCTAGCTGGGGAAGGATATTCAAACACAGGGCTGCCTGCTTTGAAGTGCTGGTGTGTCCTCGTAAAGTGAAGCTTTCAGCATCACTTTAAACCTTCCTTTCTTGCTTTTTCTTTCTCTTCCTCCTTCCTGTATCACTCTTAACCTAGCTCCCTTATTTGTGCTTCACTTACCCTTTGTGCTCTGCTAACAGCTTGCTGCCTCTGCTCAATCTTCCGTCTCTATTTTTCTTCTCTCTAGCCTCTAAAAATATTTTCTCCCTCTCTTTTCATGCCTTTTTTTTTCCCTCACAAATTCTACTTCTCCATCCTGTCTTTTTAATGCTTCTCAGTTCCTCCAAGGCGTCTTTCCTCCTGTTTCCCTAAACAGGTGCTCTTCTGGTCTTTGTGGTGCCACAGATCCCCTTTAGGGTCAGCCCTTTCCCTAGATGTGCCTGCTTGGACCCAGAGCTGAGCTCAAGGCATAGTCCTCCTTCTGCTCCTACTGGATTAATATCCACTAAAGCCAATAAGACTCTTCATCCTCTCCATGTGCTGCATTTGGAGGAGGCAACACTAGAGCTGACCTGAACCTCCTTCCAGTTTCTGCCTCTCATCATCATGATCCCAAAAGCAGTCAGGAGCAGGATATTGGGCTCTGCCACGCCAGCCTGTGAACTTGCACTCCCTTTCTCTTTGTGCTACTCTCTCTGCAGTGCCGTTCCCAATCTAGGACTGGAAGAGTAAGATGGGATTTAGGACTTCATCACAAAATTTCTGACTCCCTCACAATCACTTCTGTAGTCCCACCATGAGCCTGCAGGCAGAGCAGAGGTGCTGTCGAGCAGCCTTGCTGCCCACACTGAGTCTGAAGCAGACTCAGGATTGGCCTGGGGAAAGAGCAGGGGGAAGTGGGTGTGGAAGCTTTGGGGCTGCCACTCTTCTCAAGGGAATGTGGAGTGAGGAGGTTCACTGCTTAGCTGCAAGCACTTCCATCTTGCTGTGGGCACAAACTGTGTTTCTCTAGGATTTTCACACCTTCCACCCACACGTTTTTCACCTGACACTAGGGACATCTAGGCAGAGATGTTAAGGGACAGAGATGTGCTACTGTGTGCCCACTCTCCATTGGATCTGCTTTGTGTGATTCTCAGTTTTCAGTTTCCCTATCCTCCTTCCTATTTCTTCTGGTTTTAATTCCATTCTCTTGGAGCATCTCAATTTGGCCTCTTGCCCCCTGATTCTTTGGCTTTGCCTTCTGTCAGAGGGTGGGGGGCCGGTGCCTATGAGCAGTGGTTTTGCTGCAAGAGCAGAGGTTGGCTGGCCCATGTCCATTTCTTCTGCCTGTTGCTGTGTTCCCTCATGCACTGAGCCCTCCACTCCCCCCCCTTTTTTTTTTTAATTTTCTTTTTATCTTTTCCATTTAGCCCATTGTTGTCCGACATCACTGGGTGCACCGGAGGCGGCAGGAAGGGAAATGCCGGCAGTGTGGCAAGGTGAGAGGGCATCTTGGGCTTTTTTCTCAGCCTGAAGGAAACCTAAGGTCAAGCCAGAGATATGCACAGGGCTGGGAACCAGGGACATCCCAACATTCCTGTTTGGCAGCAAAACTAAGACACATGCCCTGCTTTGCTCAGTGAAGCGCTATGTAAGTGCTGCCCACATAGAGCTCTTCCCCTGGGCCCAACTAATCCTGAAAGAGGCTGTCGTTCTGACATGCTTTCCTTGAGCAATAAGGACGCCCCTTACAGAGCACAGTGGCCTCCCTGGTGCCATTGTGGTGGTTGGAACTTTCTGACAAGATCTGGAGGGCTCCAGCTGCAGGCATGCTCTCCTCGTTAATGTCTCTTACTGTTGGATGGTAGGAAACTGCAGGGAATTCCCTAAGCCTCTTATCCTTTCTTCCACAGGGTTTTCAGCAGAAGTTTGCCTTCCACAGCAAAGAGATTGTAGCCATCAGCTGTTCATGGTGCAAACAAGCGGTGAGCAAAGCCCCCCTGAATGCCTTACCAGTCGGTTCTGCATTAATGACCTCTGCTTTCTGTTGGGACTCCCCAAGCTGCTGCTCTGCAGCCTGCCCTAACAGCTCCTCCTGCTGGGAGAGGCTGTACTATGACATTTGCAAGCTCCTTTGAGAAGATTTCTCTTCATTGCCTTCCCATTACAAAATTCCTGCATGGTTTCATCCAGCACTCCCTGCGTTGGCATGGGGGACCTGAGAGGAGAGATGGTGGCTGTGCCCAGCAAACTGAGCAGCTGAGTTTTCTCTCTGTCTTCTCCTTGGCCAGTATCACAGCAAAGTATCATGTTTCATGCTGCAACACATTGAGGAGCCCTGCTCACTGGGGGCTCACGCTGCTGTTGTCGTTCCTCCCACCTGGATTCTGCGTGTCCGGCGGCCCCAGGTAAGTCCCTTCAGCTCTTGGGGATCCTTCACAGTTCCCACTTGCCCAGTGGCTCCTCACAGAGTTTTAGTGTTTGTTTCTTTTCTCTCTAGAATCCTTTGAAATCTAGTAAAAAGAAGAAGAGGACATCATTCAAGCGGAAATCTAGCAAAAAGGGGGCCGAGGTAAGGTATGAGGGGACTGGGAATGACCTTGTCTTGGTAGGGCAGAGGGAGTGAACAGTGCGGAGCAAGGGAATAAAAGTGGGCTTTTCTGGATCTGAGGTTAAGGAGATTGAGATGGAGGGAGGGTGCCTACTGGCAGGGTATATCCCAGATACAAGGTTTATGGGGTGGCTGGGATGTTTTCTTCCTTCTCTTTCTGACCTGTATGATGTTAGGCCTCAGCTGGAGGTGGCAGTTTACATTTCCTTAGCTTTACTGAAGTGTCTATGGTATCTTTTGCAGGAAGGAAGGTGGAAACCCTTTGTCATCAAGCCCATGCCAGCTCCTCTCATGAAGCCCTTGCTGGTGTTTGTGAACCCCAAGAGCGGTGGGAATCAGGTATGGCCTTATCTCATATGTCTAAGAAGACATCGCTGTGAGGGCATTGCCATTTGAGTCCTGAGCTCTCCTCATAGTTTTAGTGATGCCTCAGCTGCACAAGACGCCACAGTGCTAGTTTGCTGCCCAGCAGTTCCCACCTCAGCCAGGCTATGCCCTCCAGAATGGTGTTGTCTTAGCCTGTTCCCAGGCAGGACCAGATGCCTCCTTCTGCTGTACACTGGGAACTCTGTATCACCTGAAGTCTTTCTTCTCCTCATAGGGAGCCAAGATTATCCAATCCTTCATGTGGTATCTCAACCCACGGCAAGTTTTCGACCTCAGCCAGGGTGGACCCAAGGAGGCGTGAGTAGTAATGGAGGCAGCACCTTTCTCTCCCCCATCTGTGTCCCAGGATTCCTCCTGAGAGCTCTTCCCCCAGCTCATGGAGGGAGACATAGATGTGGCCTTGTGAATGCCAAGGGCTCTGTGAGGCAGCTGCTGTGTAACACCTTCAGTACTTCTCCCCTCCCCTCCTCAACCTCCCCGTTCCCTGCAGGCTGGAGCTGTACCGCAAAGTCCACAACCTCCGGATCCTGGCGTGCGGGGGAGACGGCACGGTGAGTCTCCACCCCTCCATCCCAGGGTGCTCCTTTGTCCAGTGAGGACAGCAGACCTCCTTGTTGTAATCCACAACAGGACAAACTGTGCACACTGCGTCCATGGTACAGCTGGTAGCATAGATACTGTGGGCTCCCTCGTGCACTGTTGCAGGGAGTGCTAGTCTGTAACGTGTCTGGATCTGTAGCCCTTTTGAGGGCCAGTGTCCTCACTGGGGTTACTGGTATCTCCTGCACCACCTGATTAGAGCATTAAAGATTGTAAATAGCCTCAGTTGTGGCTAAGGAGACCCCATCTCTGCCCCTCTGCCATCGCTAGTGCTCCGAGTCACCTCTGCCTGCCTGCTCATCCCTGAGATCACCAATGGTTTCTTTGCATTCTCTTGCTTGAGCAGGTGGGCTGGATACTCTCCATTCTGGACCAGTTACGCATCAACCCACCTCCTCCTGTGGCCATCCTACCTTTGGGGACAGGGAATGACTTGGCCAGAACACTGAACTGGGGTGGGGTAAGTGATGGGCACAAGAACCCACTGCTGACAGAACAGGGCTGAGTGCTTCAATCCTTGTTTCAGACATATGTTTGGAAATTTGCATGGGCTGGTGTTTCAACTTCCTGTTAATACAAACAACAACTAAGTTCAATTTGGGTATTGCCATTCTTCTGTCATTTGAATGGTTCTGCATTAGATTATACAAAAGCAATTGCTTCTTCAAACTTTGGAATATTTTTAGAAGGAAGATGTATTGTTTTAAATTTCAAGTCCCACTTCATTGTGCATTCTCGTAGAGTTGATCTCTTCTACATCTGTTACTCTGAGATGCCTTACCAAACCCTTCTATCTGGGGTATTTCTGTGGGAGGCAGTATGAGACTCACCAAGTCCTTCTCTTCACCAGGGTTACACGGATGAGCCTGTGTCCAAGATCCTATCGCACGTAGAGGATGGGAACATAGTGCAGCTTGATCGTTGGAACCTCCATGTGGAGCCAAACCCTGACACAAACCCCGAGGAAAAGGATGAGGCAGCTGCTGACAAGGTAGGACACCTCCTCTCCATGGCTGTTCCCTATACTAGAGGTCTGCATTCTCTCTTTCACTCTTTCAATTCCACCATTCTATTTGTTGCTCTGAGCCACAGCACTCATGGCAAGAATGTTTGTAGAGTTCGTAACTAAATGCCTATCAAAGACTTTTAACCACAGCTTGGAACAGCTATAAGCCCAGTCTTCTGTGAGACTGTTTTCTTTAACAGAAACATAGGTGCTTGTAGAAACCTCAGAGAGCAGTGTGTCCCCGTGGACCATTTCCCTTATCCCTAGGAGCCAGGACCATCATCTCAGGCTGGTGACCTCTGTATTTTCCTAGGGAAAAGGCAAGCAGGGCCCCTCAGCCTCATGAGCACTGTAGTGGCTCTGCTGTAACCTGACCTCGTCTTTGCCATGAGCACGTGCTGGCAGCTTCATCCTTATTCCTCCTTTCCATTTCAGCTGCCTTTGGATGTCTTTAATAACTACTTCAGCCTTGGCTTTGATGCACGGGTGACGCTGGAGTTCCACGAATCCCGAGGTACAAGGCAGTGGCAGGACATGGTTGGGGTCTGTGGGATGGACCTGTTCTTGTTTGTGGGTTCCTCAGGAAAATAAACAAGAGAATTGCTTCAGGGACAGAGCTGGAGGTGAAAATGAGGAGCAAGTCCAAGCTGCAGAGGGGGAAGAGGGGTGCCTGCACAGGAAAGAAGCTGGGCCAGACCCCTGGCTGAGGCTGGCTGGAGAGCTGTGTCTGCAGAGAACTAACAAGTGAAATATTTCCATGTGTAGGCCAGTGACCTGGTCTTTTTTCTCCTTTCCCTAGAGGCCAACCCAGAGAAGTTCAACAGCCGGTTTCGGAATAAAATGTTCTATGCTGGGGTGAGTGTGTGTGGGATATCTGAGCCTCCCTTCATAGCAGCCTTAATGTCAACTGCAGCACAGGCATAGACCTGCCTCCTGTCTGCACCCTAAACTCACTCATTTCATGGACCTTCACATGCACTCAAGCTAATCTCCCCACCCCGAAGCTGGAGAGTTGCTGCAGAAATGCTGCAGCTCTGGGAGTCACAGCTCCCCTTCGACTGTGAGCGCTGCTGGCAGTACAGCTTGCTCCATGGCCTGCAGTACGGTTGCTGTGTTGATCTCCTGCCACTATTGTTCTTGATCTCAAGCTCAGGGGTGGTCACCCAGGCAGGACCTCCCTGGAGCTGTGGGAAGGCAGGCTGTCCCTCCTGCAGAGGAAAAGGAAGCCTTTCCATAGTCTACACACTACTTTGGTCTCTTATGCCTTGGACCAGTTACAGCTTCCTGGCTAATTATACCACCCTCCTGTGTCTCACCTCTAGAGCTTTGCATCTCAGTATCGTCTTTGTTCCTCTGTCTCCCCATTCTCAATATACTTTCTAGCCGTGTGTCTGGTGACTGGTATTCGAGCAGTACTAAATGCCAAGTACTGCTCTGTGCCATCTCACATCTGTCTTGTTTGTGTCGCTTTTCCTGTCTGCACAGTTAAACCCAAAGGGGATCCATGCTGTCCCTCCTGGAATCTCTAGATGGGGTCACTTCAGCTCTGTTTTGTGGCACTTCATTGCAGCTTGAGATTGAATTTGTCTCTTGACAAAAGCGACTTGAGTCTCAGTGCAGGAGACTCATCTTGTCAGCTCTTCCCTAAAGTCAGGACTGGGCTGGCAAGAGAATACTAGAGCATGTTACTGAAGGTGCCCCTAGGTTTTTGGTAGGCAAAATAGCAAGAGGAATGGATCAGGTTGTTTTGGAGGAGAAGAGGACTTCTGCTGGTGGATAAAAAGGGGGTTTGCAGGTTTCAGCAGCTGAGGTCTGTGGCAGGTCAGTGGCAGGCTTCCTGGCTGCCCATTCTGGTGAGCACCTGGGCACTAACTCTGTCTCTTACCTCGGCAGACGGCCTTCTCCGACTTCCTCACCGGGAGCTCCAAAGACTTGGCGAAGCATGTCAGGCTGGTTGTGAGTGTGCTGGGGTGATCTGGTCCAGGGAGGGGGTGAGCTGTGGAGGCATGGGGAATGTCCCTTGGCACACTGAGTATGTGAGGGTTGAGGAGCAGATATGTTCCTCATATTAGCTTCCCCTGACTTGGACAACACTCACTGTAGGGAGAAGAGGAGGGAGGCCATTTCTTCCTAAGTGGGTAGGATGGACCAGGCTTCCCCTTACTGCAGGCTGAACACTCCTGTGTTGTGTCTAGTGTGATGGGACAGACCTGACCTCCAAGATTCAGGACCTCAAGCCCCAGTGCCTGGTCTTCCTTAACATCCCAAGGTGAGCACCCCCAGGACCCGTCTTCATATGCTGGGCTTTTCACACCTGTGTTGTAGATCCTTGCCTGGGTTTGGGGTGCCAGTCCAGGCATTTCTTCCTGTCTTCTCACAGGTACTGTGCAGGCACCATGCCCTGGGGCAACCCTGGGGAACACCATGACTTCGAGCCCCAGCGCCATGATGATGGCTGCATTGAAGTTATCGGCTTCACCATGACGTCACTGGTGCGTCAGTGCTGTTGCTAGTTGTAGGTGACAACTGGGGGAGTGAATGGTCCCATTGGCCAGCCCACAGCTCCACAGATGCTCTCTGGAGGAATTGTGTTTCTGGCCTATGTGACAGTGTCTGCTCTCTAAGGTTTAGGTGAGGTGCTGTCATGCCCTGGTCTCTGTGAGTCCGTTGACTGAAATCAAACCTGAGACCCTTAGAACTTGATTCACTTGTAACATCCAGCTGACAATGAATATTCCTCTCATCCACGTCTCAGTCCATGTTCTGCTCTCACTGGACTCTTTCACAGGCTGCCTTGCAAGTCGGTGGCCATGGGGAGCGGCTCTGCCAGTGCCGGCAGGTGGTTCTCACCACATCCAAGGCGATCCCCATGCAGGTAGATGGAGAGCCCTGCAAGCTGGCTGCTTCCTGCATCCACATCTCTCTGCGCAACCAAGCCAACATGGTGCAGAAGACCAAGCGGCGCAACTCCATGCCTCTGCTCAATGAGTAGGTCCCTCAGATCGATCTGCCACTTCCTCTCCAAGGAAGGATGGTTGACAGGGAAAGGGCAGAGGCATTTCAGTCTGTTCTTGGGGAGGGTCTGGGAAGGGATCAGGTCACAGAAATAAGGCTGGGCCCTGATGCTGGAGAAGCTTCTGGTGCCAAGCTCCCCACCCTTGTCTATACATTACTGTGCTCTTGCCTGTTTTGGAGGGATGAGGGGAATAAGGAGAAAGCAGGCTGTCACTTTCTGATATCTTCCTTTTGCCTTGCCCCCTGCACACAGCCAGCAGCCAGTGCCCGAGCGGCTGCGGATCCGGGTGAGCCGAATCAGCATGCGCGACTATGAGGCACTGAACTATGACAAGGAAAAGCTCAAGGAAGCCTGTGAGTGACCAGCTGAATGACCAGGGGGTGGGAGCTGCAGTCCCCGAGTCTGGCAAAGCCTGTAGCTAAACTGTGTGAGGTGTTGGAAATGGGGCATGGGCTGCTCCCTGAGTTATGCCTGTGCCCTGTCCTGCAGCTGTGCCACTGGGAATCATCGTGGTTCCAGGAGACAGTGACCTGGAGTTGTGCCGGACCCAGATTGAGAAGCTGCAGGAGGTGAGTCTCTGCAGGAAAAGTGGTCATTGCTGAATACTGAGGGTGAAGGGACTCAGGGAAAGGATTTCTATGCTGCCTTGACCTGCACATCACCCACTACACACACACTCTTGCTTTGGATCACACTAAGAGATCATGGTTTGCCTTCACCATGTGGTGGAGGCAGGATTCCAAGCTGGATGCTCCCTGCTGTCTGGCAGCTTCTTTTTCAGCATTGCTCTTCTGACTGTTCTCCAAGCCCAGAGAGTGACCCTGAAAAACTGCAGGGTAATATAAAAAGCCAGCACGCATCCTGTGGGGGGCATATAACCCTTCAGCCCTCCACAGGCTTTGTGTTTCCTGTCACGGCTCTGCCCTCTCCAGGTGCCTGGATTAGGTTTATAAACCCTCCCTTTCTTCTCATTTGCAAGCACTAATTTTTGTGTCCTTGCCAATGTACTAGCACACGTCTGTGACCTGTACACAGACTGTGTAACTTTTGCTCCTGGTGAACAATGACTTCTAAGCCCATAGTCTGGCTCTTGGTGCTGCACTGCTCAATCTGATTGTTGCACAGAAGATTGAAGGGACCATTCTGAGTCTGCTGTTAGCTGGCTCTTGTGCCTGTGGGAATCCCATCCAGTGTATGTGCAGAGTCCCACAGAGGTGAGTTGCAGAGCTGCTTGCCTGGGCTGGCATACTGGCATCTGCCTCTTGCTGTGCCCGCTCTGTATGCGTGCCCCCTGCCCGCTTTTTGCCCAGGCACTGGTGAGGACACACAGGCAGGCACACGGCTAGCAGCTCCTGGGTTCACAGGGTAATGCTTTCCTGCTGTGTCCGTGTGGTAGACTGATGCCCCTGCAATCTCCTGCACCTTTAAAACACACACCTTTAGTGTGGCTGGTGTTTCTTGGTCACCTCATGGTTTACCTCTTCTCACTCCTTGGGAAAACACTGTGCTCTGGCCTTAAAGCCAGGCAAGGACCAGTTACCTTGACAGACAGTGTGTAAAGCCAGATATGGCAGCACGTTGAGCAACTTCAATGGGATGAGAGAGGGACTGGGGGGCTGCCCAGACACAGGCTGTAACAGGACATCTTGCCTTTCTGCAGGATTTCCCTGCACAGCCCTCTGCTTTAGAGCGCCTGCTCTTTCAGGTGTGTATGGCCTCTCTGTCCTCTGGGCCTGTCTGTCACGTCCACTGTGCCGGTCTCATGGGCTCATCTTGTGACACTGCTCTACAGTCAGCTCTGGTCTGTGCCATGGTCTCCCTGTTGCAGTGTGCTGTGCCTGTGTTCAATTTCATCCAAGTGCCTGTGGTCCTCTCTGTCTGCAGGGACCTCCGAAAGCAGGAGCAATGCTCTGAAGTGAAATGCAGAGGCCATAAGCTACATCTTTATCCTCTCTTTTATTATGCAGGAGGGAGATGGAGCCAAGCCGAAGACACTGTCATTCCAGAAGCTGTCACCCAAGTGGTGCTTCCTGGACTGTGAGTATTACCCTTCCCTAGGAGTGTTGACTGGGTCTGATGATGTGCTAGCAAGGTCCTTTGTTCTGCCAGCTCAGGGGATGGAGATCCATGTGGATGCAAAGATCCAAGGGTTATCGCTGCATTAGAAACCACAGAAGCACCTGGGAATTAGGAATTACAGCTCCTATGCCCAGAAAAGGGGAGGAATCAGTAGTCCAGCTGAAATGCATCGACTCCAGTGCATGCAGCATGGGCTACAAACAGGAGGAGCCAAAAGATATGGTAGAGCAAGAAAATTATGACATAGTTGCCATCACAGAGACACAACTGGGGTGCTGCAATGGATGGCTATAAACTCTTCAGAGGGGACAGTCAAGGAAGGAGACCAAGCTGATCTCTTCCTATGTCGAGGTGACCTCTTCAGTGGATGAGTGAAAAGCTGTGGATGCTGTCCACTTGAACTTCAGTAAAACATTTGACATGGTTTCCCACAGCATTCTCCTGGGGAAACTGGCTGCTCATGGCTGAGATATGTGGACTGTTCACTGGATAGAAAGTCAGCTGGATGGCTGGGCCCAGAGACTGGTGGTGACTGGAGTTACATCCAGCTGGTGGCTGGTCACCAGCGGTGATCCCCAGAGCTCAGTATCGGGCTGGTTCTGTTTATTGTCTTTATCAGTCTGGATGAGGAGGTCAAGTGCACCCTCAGTGACCTGCAGACAAGTTGGGTGGGAGTGTTGATCTGCTGGAGGGCAGGAAGGCTCTGCAGAGGGATCTGGACAGGCTGGATCATGAGCCAAGGCCAATTGCATGAGGTTCAAAAAAGTGAATGTCCAGCTCTTGGGTCACAACCACCCCATGCAGTGCTGCAGGCTGGAGGAAGGGGGGCTGGAAAGCTGCCCAGCAGAAAAGAACCTGGAGGTGCTGGCTGACAGCAGCTGAACATGATCCAATGTGTGTGTGTCTGTCAGGATCCGATTACTAAGATTCTTAGGGATGCCTCTGCCTGATTAAAATGCAAATGAGACCATATGCCAGTGACAATAGCATGGATATTATTTGATAGTAAATATGAGAGAGAGAGAAAGAAAGAAATAGAAAGTAGGTGTGAGGGACAGAAAGAGAGTAACAGGGACAGAATAAGGAAAGTATCACTACTCCCTGGATCCCAGTGATGCTCCATTGATCCTCTCCAGCTGGTCTTCTTGGTGGTGAAGGTTCCCCAAAAAGCATAGAATCTGATGGGTCAATATACAGTCACGCCAGGTAGGAAAATCCAGGCACCTCCCTGGAGGAGGGGGAGTTCGCCATAGTTTCTTCCACATTTGATGCATCATGTGCAGCCCTGTGGTGCAACACCTCAAGAATGACTATGGGGGGCCTTTGATGGATTAGTACACCCCCTCAGCTGGCCTCATGTGAATGTCCCATGGATGTGGCCATCGTGGGGTTGGAGATTCCACAGGGAATTTGTGTAATGGAAGGTGGGTTCACAGCTCCTGAGCAGAGGTTACAACATAGCCAAAATTCCTCCCCCCACCTCGGCTGGAGGGGAAACCTGTGCAAACCTGCTCCCAGCAAATGAGTCTATGGGCTATGGCCTCTCTCCCATCCCAAAGCAAGCCAAAGATGATTCTTAGCAGGGCTGCTGGGTTTGGCTCACGTTCTTTTCGTTGTTTACTTGTTTGTTTCAGGTGATTGAAGAATGGGTTTTCCCTTTATCTAATCTCAGCAATTTGGCTTTCAGTCCAAAGTCCCAGTCAAGTATCTTCAGGATGGCTTCTTTGGTTGTAGCTTCTTTATACAGTTTTTGTTATAATGAGCAAAACTTTATATCAGTGTTTGAGGCATGACCTATTTCAGGCTCTGACAGTGTCCAGGTATGCAAGAAGGCCAATGGCATCCTGGCCTTTATCAGCAATAGTGTGGCCAGCAGGACCAGGGCAGTGATTGTCTCCCTGTACTCAGCACTAGTGAGGCCATGCTTTGAACCCCATGCCCAGTTTTGGGCCCCTCACTACAAGAAAGGACATTGAGGTGCTGGAGCACATCCAGAGAAGGGCAGTGATGGTGGTGAAGGGTCTGGAGCACAAGTCACAAGAAGAGCAGCTGAGGGAGCTGGGGTTGTTTAGCCTGGAGAAAAGCAGGCTCAGGGGAGACCTTATCTCTGTCTATAACTACTTGGAAGGCAGTTGTGTCAAATTGTGTAGGTCTCTTCTCCTAAGTAACAAGCAAGAGGATGAAGGGAAATTAATGACCTGAAGTTGACTCAGGGAGGATTTTTTTTCCCACTGAAAGGGTGATCAAGCATTGGAACAGGCTGCCCAAGAAAGTGGATGTGTCCCCATCCCTAAAGATGCTTAAAAGATGTGTAGATGTGGCACTTAGGAACATGGTTTAGTGGTGGACTTGCTAGTGTTGGTTTAATGTTTGAACTCAATGACCTTAAGGGTCTTTTCCAACCTAAGCAATTTGATCATTCTATGATTCTATGAATTTGGGGTGTGAGGAACAGCCACTGAGCCTTGAGACTCACAGATGCTAGGGTCTTTGGGGTTGAGCACAGCAATGCTTTACCCCAGCCTGAGTGTCTGGCTGCTGACCCGGAGTGGAGCAAGGGGAGAGAGTCAGTGGTTCTCTTGCCCCCGGAGCTGAAGGCAGCTTGGTGGCGTGTTTGTCAGTGCAGGACTGCTCGGGATGCTCTCCTGTGTTGTGCAGGCAGGGGGCCCCCCTGCTCCAGCACGCTCGGAGTCGGACTCACCATGAGCATGCAGTGTTATGGGAGAGCAGCGTCTCTGCTGGGCTCCACTCCAGCTGCTGCTTCTCCCCTGCCTGAAAATAGCTTTCTCTTCTCCCTTTGCCTTCTCTGATCCAGAAGCTCCCTCTGTATCTGGAAGCTGGCTGAGTGAAATGCCCGTTGGTAGCATTTCATCTCTCTGACATTCCAGCAAGCAGAGTGTAGATCACAGCAGAGCACAGCCATGGGTTGCAAAGCGGGCCTGGGAAGCCTCGTGCTAGGCAGAGAGGGTGCAGCTTCTCCCTTCAAGGTCCCAGCCCTGCGTATGGTGTTGCTGGTGCTGCTGCTCCCAGGTGTCACTACTAGGACTGCTGGACCAGGGCTCCTTTCCCTTCTCCTGTCAGTCTCCCAGCAGCAGGTTCTGGGCTCAGGAAAATGTGTCAGGAAAGAGACTAGAGTCTCGTTCAACACAGCACAGGTTCATTCAAGTGGCTGAATTATAGGCCAGTAGCTCCCTGGATGCAAATATCCAGGATAAACATGGCTCTTTCAGTCCTCTCATCTGCTCTGGCACATCCCCACTCTGTTTGCAGAGAGGCTTCCTTGAGTCTGCAAGGATCCCGTGGAGCAGCTTCTCCTGGACTGGCACCAGCAGCCTGTCAGGATATTGGGGAAATGCTGCCCTGCATTGGAATCCGGCTGTCCTGGCACTGTGCTCTTACCTGTCCTGGTCCCATGGGTGATGCCCTAAATCCCCTGTTCCCCCCGGGGTGGTGGCTGTGTGTGTCTGGCTCCAGCATAGCCACTTGCTCTGTTGGAGCTCCTCTCTCTCTGTGGTGATCTCTAAGGAAGAGGGATGAGCAGAGGGATGCACTCAGACAGGCTGGAGGCTGATTTGAAGCTCTTCTGCCATCCTAGGAGACAGAGGCTTGGATCTACAGCTGGTGGTGGCATGCTTTGTTGTGCCTGGCAGTCACATGCTCTGAGTGGCCTCATGGAAATCCTTAGTCAAATCAGCACGAGGCTGAGCCCTCTCTTCTCCCAGCCTCCTGTAGCGCCCCCATTTCTGAGTACTGTTCGACAAGGTGCAGATTGTCAATCACAGCAGTTCCTCACCTGGTATAAGTGAATGCTGAGATGTGAACTGCATAGACCTGAGTTTCATCTGCTAGTTGTGTTCTTGCCTTACCTGTGGCTCCCTGCTTGGAGTCATTGAGGAGGAGATGGCAAGGAAAGGCATGTTTCACAGGAGCATGGTGGTCTGTAGGCCTAAGGAGCTGCCTCTAGGGTGAAGACACCAGGAGAATCATGGAAGGAGGTGGCTTGCTTCTGGTCAGGGGCTGCTGTTTGCTTTGCTGTACCCTCTGTGCAAGCCATGAAGTGGCTGGATGGCTCACTGTCACTCCTGGTGGGAAGAGGCTTTCTCCCTTGTCTCACACCAAGGATCAGCCTGTTTCATTCTGTTCTCTCTTACAGCAACCACAGCCGATCGGTTCTACAGGATAGACCGTGCACAGGTGAGTGCAGCCTCATTCTGCCCCATCATCCCCCTGGGAAGGTGCTTGGGCGTCCCACCTGCACACAGACCAACAGGCAGGCATAGGCTCGCAGGCACAAGACTGTTCAAGCCACCATTGCTCTGCTGAGCAAATGGGTGGGCCACAAACCCACTCACTGGGATATGAGGGGATGGAGTTTTGCAGAAGTAGGTCTTGCTTCTGAAGAAGCGTGTCCTGACTTGTGTCTTTCAGGAACATCTCAATTATGTGACAGAGATCTCTCAGGATGAGCTCTATGTGCTGGACCCAGAGCTAGTGGTCACTCAGACTGTGAGCACTTCTCCTGCCATGCCTGACCTCGTGGACTCATCTGCCACACCCCCTGGGCACCATTTTGCATTTCCCTCCTCTTCATCCTCTCCACCCTCCTCTCCTGCCCCCAGGTGAGTGTGAAATGGGGGTTCTGTACCTCAGGAAGAATGGGCAGTGATGGGAGAGCTAGGGTTGGCTTCATAGCATTGATCCCTGGCCCAGATTACAGGGGAGCTCCCTGGAAGTAAGCAGGAATTCAGTGTTGAGTAAGACCAAGGAATGAGATTCCATCCTGTTTTAGCCACGTGGCTCAGCCATGAGGTCAAGCTCCAGCACCTGGCCCATGGATCAAAGGAGAAGGGTAAGGGTGTCTTTCAGCCAAACTAAGGCCAGTGTTGGGTATGGATGAACAATGGTGCCAGGAGCAGCAGTAGAAGTGGGAGTGGGGATAGGGAAGAACCCAAATCAGGGAAGAAGGGAGTGCCACAGGCAGGTTTCCCCATCCCTGTAATGGTGGTGTGCCCATTAGGGCCATCTGCTACCAGGACAGGCAGGGTTAGTTACATTTCCTCTTCTTCCCTTTCAGCACTGAGCCTGAGCGCTGCCTCCCGCATAAAGGTGAGTGGCGTCCTACCCCTGGTCACGCTCCCTCTCAGGTTGCACTCTTTTGTTTTCCTGCCATGGGTTTTTTTTGGCCTATCCTTTCTCTGGTGAGCGGGGAGGAGCCCTGTTGTTCCATGTGTCCTGAAACATGGAGCGCTGCAGGCGGGTGACCCAGAGGTGAGCACGAGAGACCTGACAGTGATTTGTGGAGTGGCCCAGCCAGGCGCCTTCCCGGCTCCACCATGCGGGAAATTATGTGGCAAGGGGTTAATCCCCCACCTGCAGAGCTGAGCGCTGTGGACTGGGTTGGGAGGCTGTCTCTGCCTCTCCCTGAGGAGGTGGGAGCACTAGAGTAGGGGCCTCACCAAGCTGAACAAATGCAAGGAGTTTCCTGAAGCTTGATCGGAGCCTGGAGGTGTGAGTGAGTCATTGGTGAGAGGCGTCTTGGCTGCTGGCTGATGCCCAGGAGACCTGCTCCATCACAAGTTATCCTGCCCAAGGGCAGAGACTATCCCCCCCTGCACATGCACCTCTCTGGGGCTGAGGTCTGGCTGCACCCCTAGCTAGATGGTGTCTTTCCTTCCCCTGGCTTGTTCCTTACATTCCTGAAGGTGGAGGAGCCATGTAAATGCAGTCTTACCAAGGGGTTAATCCCTGGAGGAGCTTGTGCTCCTGCTGCATACCTCTGGTGCCCAACTCTTGTCTCCAGGATTAGATAAGCAGTATTACAGATCGACTTTTCTGACCCTAATGGATCTCTCTTTGCAGACGACCTTCTGATAGAAGCTGCCAAGAGTGGCAACTTCAGCAAGGTAGGTGCTCCAGCAGCCTGCTGAAGTGAGCAGCCAAGGCTGGCTCCTGGGCTGGTGTGCCCCTTGGGCTAAGAGAAGCCCTGCCAGCCATGCTCCCCAGTTGCCCTGGAGCAGCGCCTGTCAAGGAGTGGTGGCTGGAAACCAGGCAGGCTTCTGGCAAGGAACCCTAGTTCATCTCCTAGGAGACACGAAGGGAAGGGAGGGGAAGGGAAGGGATTTGGTAACATGGCTGAGCTGGACAAAGCTCCCCACTAGCCCCAAGTATCCAGACAAGCTGTCAGACACTCCAGGCACATAATGCTGGGGCTTGCAGCTGGGAAATGTAACTCATCCTGAGCAATCTGACAATTTTGTAGTTCCAAGAGCTGCACCGAGCTGGAAGAGACCTGATGGTGCGAGACTCCTCTGGCCAGACCGTCCTCCACCATGCTGTCAAATCAGGAAGCAAGGACATCGTCAAATACATCATTGAGAATGGTGAGCTGGAGCCAGAGTGCCACTCTTAGCAAACGAGCCTGGCAGCCAAAAAAATCAACCCTCTGGTCAGAGGGAGTGCTTCTGGGCTTAGATCCCACCCCTCTGGGTTTGCTGCATCATCCTTTTGGTGTATAGGCTTTTCCTGGCATCTGTCTGCCAGTACTGGGGTGTCCTTATGGCTGTTGCTGCATCCTGGCAGGGATCAGCATGTCTCTGGGAAACATTTCTCAGTGTCTTGCTTTTGCCTTCAGGGCAGCTGACCTGTTGATTTTGACAGTTCCCACTGAAATACAGACAGCTTTATTTTTATTTAGATACTTATCTGTAGTAAGGCCACAATCAATTCTTCTTTCCTGGCAACAGCTGGGCTCAGATGCCATTGCAGACCTGAGTTCTTTGGAGGTACAACTTTTGCAGGCAGCGTGAAAATAGCAGCCCCTATGGAATGATGCAGCCTGTGACCAGGGATTCACCTGCACTCTTTTCTTTCCACAGCTCCTTCAGAAATCCTTGATGCCACAGAGGAGGAGAAGTAAGTCGCTGCTTGACTTGCATTACGTGTTGGCCAGACCCTCTGGAGTCATAGGAGTACTTCAGCTGTCCTTGCACTAATTTTCAGCCATGATTCCCGGTCCATTTTGGACAGACGGCCCCTGAGTAGCATGCCCTCATCTGCCAGGGGTGCCTGGGCAAACACATAACTCACAATCAGCTCCTGCTGCCGCTAAATTGCTGTCCCTTGCTGCCACCTGCATGTGCTGTTTGTCCCTGTTGAGGGGGACATCTCACATCTCCCGCTTTCTCCTCCTCAGCGGTGAAACCAGCTTGCACCAGGCTGCAGCCTTACGCCAGCGCACTATCTGCCACTACATCGTGGAGGCCGGGGCCTCGCTCATGAAGACAGACCTGCAGGTGACAGTGGGAACGGTGGCAGTGGGGCTTTCTGGGGCAACCAGATGGCTGGCAAGGTGCAGAGCTAGCAGGAGAGCAGAGCAGGGGTGCTTGGGGTGAGGTTGTTTGCCATTCAGCGAGGAGCTGACATGCAGCACCCATGCTTGCCCAGTAGAGCTCAGCTACAGAGGGGTTAAATCCCTCTTCTCCTAGCGCTTCTCTCCCTGTTGTTTTATTAAATTAGAAGCAAGGAGCTGGAATGTCTCATCCCTGTCTCCCCCTTCCCACCCTCAGGGGTCAGAGCAAGGACATTCTCCCTGAAAGCTCCCTCCCAGCTGCAGGACTCCCCCGCTCTCCCCCACAGGCAGTCATGATGGGGGATCTGGGAGCTCCTCTTGGCGGGTGAAGCTGGCCTGCAGGGAGCAGGAGCAAGCAGTGGCAGCACTTTCCCTCACATGCCGAGTTAATTGAGCTGTGCCTTAGTGTCAGGGAAATGTGCCAGCCCTGGCAGAAGAGTTGCAAAAGGGGAGGGCTTGGGGCCATATTTTGGTACAGGAGGTTCCTGGGGCTGGCATATGGCAGAGAGGATGTGGTCAGATGTCTCTGGTGGAAGCTTGTAGTGATGGGCTGTAGCACAGGTGATGTAGAACAAGCCAAGAAGGTGCATGCAATCTGTGGGTCTGCAGTTAGGAGCCCAGTTGAGGGATATTGGTGCTGGTGGAGCTTGGGGTTCAATTTAGACAATGCACATCCCTGTTTGCCAGTTGCCAGGAGAAGTCAGTACAGATAATCTCTGGCTCCCCATATCTCTTCCTTCATCCTGTATAAGGCTTAGGCTTTAACAGTACCCAGAGTGGGGCTGGCCTGTACGGAGACTCAGCTGGCAGAGACAAGAGGAGAGGGCAGTTCGGGGGGCATGGCCCCTCTCTGTCCCCAGCCCCCATTTGCCTGAAGGAGAGGAACAGCCCCCAGCCTGCCAGCACAAAAGGGAGCCTTGCTCAGGCATGCGCCTGCCCCAGGGAATGGATTTGCATGTGCCTGTGCAAACGCAGCATGTTGGGTTTGTGGCTGCCTGGGGACACCGCTGTGCTGCTGCTCTGACCTCTCATGGGCTCCAGGTCACAGCCTGCCTGCACAGGCAGGATCCACCTCATTAGAAACCCCAGCAGCAGACCTGTAGCACGGGTTTGGAGCAGGCTGATCCCGCTCCCTGCGGTGGTGAGGGAGGCTGAGCCTTATCAGTTGGATTGCCTCAGCCCAGCCGGGCAGGGAGGCCCTGGCAGCTCCGGTTTCATGCTGCAGGCAGGCAGTGATGCAGAGGGGCTTCTGCAGGGGAACAGGAAAGAAGCTCAATTCCTCCTCTGTTAAATGAGTGATTGCATTCAGGGGATATGGGAAGGAGGCCATCAAGGAGAGCCAGCACCAAAGGATAGCGTGGTCTCTGTCCCCTGATGATGTGGCTGCTGGGGGGTGTGTGCAGGACCACGGGGTGTGCCCATCCCAAGGAGATTTCTTGGTGCATGATACCTCTCTGCAGCCACACACAGATGGGCTTTTATGCACAGCCACATCCAGGCCCAGTGGAGGGCTCTGCATGTCTGACCATTGTTCCTGATGGAGAAATATGGCTGTGGGCTGCTCTGGACACCCCGGCATGCTGCTGCAGCTGCCTGTGCCCTGCTGTGCACCAGGGAATGAGCCAGGCAGGATGGCTATTCCTTCCAGGGCTGTGGCAGAGTTCCAGGTTTCTGTGGCCTTTCTCAGTGGCACAGCAGAGCCTGGGCACTTGGAGAGGAGGAGCAAGGAGCAGGGGGAGGGAAGGGGGAGAGGAGGCAGAGCTGGGAGCTGTTAACAGATTTGCTTTTTATGGAGTGCGGGAGTTCATTAGTGGACACAATCCAGATGGCTGCAATAAGCTGGTGAAATGTGATCCTCCTCCGGGAGCTGGAGCACTAGTGAGGCTGTGAGAGGGAAGGGGGGTTGGTATTCCTGGGCATTCCCCAGACATACCCCTCATTCCTCACCCTTTCCCGCCTGCCTCCCCAGCACAGGGGAAGAGCAGGTCATGGGGACTGCCAGTCTTTGTCTCTTCTTTGGGTGACTTGTGATGCCCAGGGTCAGTCATACTCTAGGCCATGCCTGGAACTGATGGCCCTTCAGGGGACAGCTTCCAGGCCTGCAATAGTCAGGTTCCTCAGGAGCACACTTGATCCCATGGTGAGCACATGGGCATTTGGCTGCTGCCTGACTCGGAGTTTGGCTGCAGGCTCCGTGGAGCCCAGAGGGGTCCACAGGGGGGAGTGGGGACGCCTTTGGGTGCCAAAGCAGTGTATAGGCAGTGTTTGGCGCTCTTGACTTCTTGCCTCCCCTGTACAGGGAGACACCCCGAAGCACCGTGCTGAGAGAGCCAATGACCCCGATTTAGCTGCCTACCTCGAGAACCGACAGCACTACCAGATGATCCAGCGGGAGGACCAGGAGACAGCTGTGTAGTGCTTGGCGTGCCTTAGCCCAAGCCAGCTCATGCAGGATGAGAAGAGGACAATGCCAAGTGGCAGAGCTGTATCTGTCCCAACCCTCCCCAGATGCCAACCTGGTCCCTGGAGATGGATACAGAAGAGCTCTGCCCCAGGCTGGGCTGGGACTCTGTTTATGAGGACAACGGATATTTCAGACTTGAAGCCTGGTTCTTTGTGTGTCCACCCCTTCACCTCTCATTCACCACATTCCCTGCCCTAGGTGGGCTCTAACCCCCAGCGAGGCTGGGGAAGCAGGCCAGGCTGAAGCCCCCAGTCACCCTTGTTCATGGCAGTAATGCCAGTGCCCCCTCCACAGGCTTCTACCTATGATCCTTGTGGGATATCATTGCTCAGCCCCTCTCTGTGCTGGCAGTGCCCCTCTTTTAGGTGCTTGGCTAGGTTTGTGTCCTGTTCCTCCTCTCCTGTCTGGCACAGCTGTGGGAGGCACAGGCTGTATTGACAGACTGCGGAGGCTGTGAGCTGCAGACTTTGCCCCAAAGGAAGCACCAAAACTTACTGGCCTTGCCTTCTCCTCCCTCCTGGGACTGCACCAGGTCTCTGTGTTGCCCTCCTCAGAGCCTTCTGAAGCGGGAAGGAAGTCACTTGTGCATCCAGCCTTTCCTCAGAGCATCTGGGACTGGTGCAGCTGGAAGTAGGGCAGCAGGTGCCCTCCTGATGGGCCTTTAGTGCTCAGTCAGCAGTCTGACTTGGGGCTGGGATGGCATGGAGGAAGGCTACCAAACCCTCCCACCACACTTCTCCCCACAGTGCTGGATGGAACAATTTGCACACCCACTCTGCTGAGCATCTCTTTGTGAGCCCGCTGCGGGATGGTGGAGAGCTGCACTCAGCTGGGGCAGTGGCAGCAGTGACACCTGTTATATTCCAAATGCTGACTTGGATACAGCTACCCTCCCTGCTTCAGTTTCCCCCTCAATGCTAGACTTTGCGTGGGGCTGGACGGGCAGTACTGGGGTCAGTGCTGCTCTCAGGGATCTCCTCCTGCCCCCCAACCTAGCAATGTGTATCCTTTTAGTCTGACTCCTGCTATTCCCCAAACTGAGCACAGGGTAAACTTGAGAGCTCACCCAGCTGAGACACAACCCACCTGGGCAGACCATGAGCTCACCCTCTCCAGTTTTATTAGAAAGAAGGATTGAGATTCACAGTAACCATCAGGGCTCCTAGCCCTAGATCATTCCTGGAATGGATGAATTTCACCAACTGCCTGCTATGGGGCATGAAGCACCACAATCCATCTCCCCTGTTGATGCTGTGAGCACTTAATGCCAAGACATCAAGCCAGGCCTTCAGCAAGGCTTTTAGAGAACTGAATCTCTGAGACTTGGAGGTGCCCACAGAGGAGGAAAGCTGATGGCTCTGAGCCTAGCAGACCTGCTTGGCACTTTGGGGTGGGTAGTGGTTGTGAAGGGGGTTGCTGTTCGCAGCTTGGCCCCAGGAGAGGATACTGCTGCTGCCGTGTGTGGTCTGTGCAGTCCCTCTGCACTCACACACAGCTGTGCCCCCTGGGTACTGCTGGATGGCACCATTGGAATCCCTCCTACTACCGAGAAAACGGTATGAGGATGCTGTAGGGAACCAGAATACCCTTCAGACTTTTTGTTCAGGGGCGGGGTTTCCTTGAAGGATGGGGGATGCTGTACTGGGGAACAGAGGCACAGGGCAGTGCAGGGTGCCCAGGGGCCAGTGGCAGTATTGGAAAATAATAATGATCGTATACTAATGCTACAGCTGGGACATTCCAGAAGTGCCTGGTGTTCTCATCAGCACTGCTGGCAGGCCACTGACAGGCAAGGCACTGTCATCTTCTCAGAGGTCCACACCACTGCTGCTCCAGACGGGATGCCCATCTTAGCCCAGAGGCATTTAGAGCCTCAGCTTTCCCCTTCCTTCCTTATAGTTTTTGTACAGGTAGTTGAGAGACACACTGTCCCCCTCCCTTCCTGGCCCCTCCGTGCACCTGTGAGCTGAGTTGCTGTGCAATTCCAAGCCTGCTTATATTTGGTGAAGAAGGAGGGGGTGTTGGTTGCCCTGCCCCCCTGAGGGCAGGGGTTCTGTGCAATACCTGGGTCTGTGTTTCTTAGACGCTGTTGTAGGACTGTATTTTTGTAACTATGTGAGGGTGCTGGCTCCAGCCGGCCCAGGGCCTGGCACGAGCCTGTGTTCCCGTTGCTTTTCAACTTTGACTGTTTGGATGTTGTTGTTTCTTGCCATTGAAATAAAGAGATTGATGTTTTAGTTCCTGTCTCCTGCTGCATCCAGAAGATTGCAGTTGGCACTGCACAAACAGATGCCCTGCATGGCACAAACAAGGTTGGATCCCAAGGCCTCTGCCCCGTCCAAACTTGGGGATACTTTTGGGAGTTCCCTACTGGCCCACATCCTTGTTCACTTCCCAGCACAGCATCCTTCGGGGACTGTTGTTAGATATGGGGTCTTTGTCCTGAGGGGTCTTCTCCATTCTGTGTCATACATCAATGCTCAGTGCAGTGTGAGAAAGGGAGAAAGTGCACTGTTTTCCCAAGTGATCCAGAAGGCCTTGGAAGTGTGAGTCAGCAGCCTGCTATTCCTCCTTGGGGCAAAGGCAGCAGCCCCAGGGGCTGCCACAGCTGTCAGTGGATACTACAGCAGCATCCGGCCTCTAGTTTCAAAACGTTTGTTGGCCTTTTTTTGTGGTGAGCTGTCCCCAGCCATGCTGCTCTGTGGGAGATGAGCCTGCCGGGGCTCTTCCTATTCATTTCCAGCTCCAGCAGGGAGTCTTGGGCTTTTGCCTCCAGTGCTGAGCACTGAGGGCAGGGATTATCTCTGCCACTTTGGTGGAAAGACCGCTCTCTGATTACAAAAGCAGAGGATTAGAGACACTTCTGCTTCCAGCCTCAGACTCATAAGGATGACTCCTGGGAAGTTTCCTTCAAAAAAGGAGGTAATCACAGTGACCAATGTCATGCTGGTGATGGAGCCAGTGGGTGATGAAGAGCTGTACTCATATCTTAAACTCGGATTTCTGGGGGCAGTTTGGCAGCCTGCCTGGTGCTCCTGCCAGCCCCTCTCTGCCCAGAGAGCCTCCTTCCCTGCCTGCATTGTCCCTTCCACCCCCACTGTGCCTCTCTTTCATGGTCTTCAAACTTCAGCTCCTGCCCAGAGCTAATAGTGAGGATCTGTAGCAGGTGTAAGGCACACCAAATTGTCCTGGCCTCCCCAGGGACCAGGTATACGTGCAACTGGAGGAGGGGGCCTGCTCTGCTTCAGCATGCCCAGACCCCGGCATGCTGGCGCTTGGCCCACATCTCGGCAGGGAGGCTGTCAGTAACCATGGCAATTGGAGTCTTCCAGCCGCCCAGTGTCAAATATACAGTGGGGAAGAAAAGCAGTCCTACTGTGTGATCACTCTGATGCGGGGTGTTGGGAAAGGGGCAGTGTACCTTTGGGGCAGTCCAGCCCTTCTCTCTAAAGCGTGTCACAGCACCCCCTCTTTCTCCTTTTCAGTCAGGTGCTGGAGGTTCGGAGGTCTGTCTGCCCTCCTGTGGGATGGAAGCACACCTGAGGGTGTGCAGGCTGGAGAAAGCCATGCAAGCCCAGGCCCAGCTAAGCAGAGCTGGGGTGACAGCAGTTGGCCCTGGTAATGATTACCTGCCACACACCTCAACAAGAAAAACGTCGTTTCTCTCCCAGGCATTGCTGTGTCCCTGCACTGGCACTGCTGCAACATTCACTACCATTTCCCCAAGGACCAGGCTTTGAACAAAGATGGAAAATGCAGAGCTGACATGCCATGAATTAGCTTGTGACATTTTTAGAGGTAAAAAGCTCAAGTTAACCAACTGCAGGGAAATGTATCTGGGTTAGTCACACTCTCTCTTTTTTCCTCCTTTCCTCAATATGAGGTTCCTTTCTGCAATCGCAGCCTTCTGCTGCTTATTTGTGTTGGGGAAGGGGCCATTTCCCCCATGTCCCTCAGAAGGAGCCCAAAGGGATCAAGGACAGCCACTGCTGAGAGTGATGTGCACCAATGCATCTCTGCTCTCTCACACAGCCAGCATTTGTCTCCCTGTCCCCTGGAAGGAGTGAGAATTTGCACAAGGCTTCACTGTACCATATGCTGCTGTGCCCTAGGAACTCCAGTGAGACCTTCAGCTCCTGGCCAGAAACAGCTGAAGAGAAGCAGCAGTGCTTGCTCCACACCTAGTTCTTTAACACTTCTATAGGCCCTGGTTTGCTCATCACAGTCCTGTGATTCAGATGTGCAAACCTGATGTACACCTAGGTCCTTCTTTTTTACACTGATATTTGTTTCAACGGCTTTCTTCAGCTTGAGTTTAAAGGGTGGCAATGGTAGGAGGCTATTGACTTTGCTACCTGCCCAGCTATCAGGATCCATTTCTGCATCCTGGGCTCAAACAGCCTAGCATCTCCAGATGCCTCACCACACAGAGCAGTACCTGTTGCTGTGTGTGCAGCAGGAAGTTGACATGTTCCCACATTTACCAGCTCTCCTCAAAACCTATGCAGATGTTTAGGAAACTGCTGGCAGAGTGGCAGTTAAATGTGGCAATCTCTTGGAAAGTGATTCCTGGTTTCAAAGCACCTCATAAAACTCAGCCCTGCCCCCACCCTGCAACCCCACCTGTGGCAGCCCTGCTCTCAGCAGACTTCTTCCAGGATAAGAGGTGGAGAAATGGCTCCATTCCCCACCACAGCCCCATTTTTCTGGAATGACACTCTCTCTTCTGGCTGCTAACTCCAAAAAGGAATTGGCTTGTCTGCTCCCTTGCTCACCTCCCAAGAAAAGGTGGTGGATGGGGGGAAAGGAGCAGTCACATCTGCAAGGTCCTTTTCATCCCCCACCAGGAGTCGGATACCACTGCTTGGTCCAAGGAGAAGGGCTGCAGCATGGATGAGCTGGGGACAGGCAGGCAGGTCACAAGGGATGGAACTGGGGAGACACTTGGCACAGCATGTAAGTGATGTGCTGCTCTGGGTGCAGAGCAAGTAACTCTTTCCTGGCAGCTTCCCACGAGAGGCAGAGCAAGCAGAGAAGGGTGGAGAGGGCAGAGATCGTGAAAGGTCGGTCGGTCCGTTGATGCCAGTGGCCTTGATGGAGAAGTAGGCATCCACGGAGCTGGTGGAGACACAGGGTGGTTCCCTTTACTCCACTGAGGCCCAAGGGTGCCCCCGGGGCCAGCTTCCAGCGGAACTCAGAGCAGCAGCCCCCAGGGGAGACCCTGCCCGGCTGTTCAGCTGTGCACCCTTCGGCCACTCGGTCACGTTGGGGTGCGTGGTCAGCTGGACCCGCACGGCTTCCCTGGTACCGCACCGCGGTTGGAAAGCACAGCAAGAAGGTAAGAGGGGACAAGGGACAGGGGCCGTGCCTCGCAAAACCTGACGTCCCGGGCCCCGCTCAGCCCCGGCCGAGGGGCCCGCGCTGCCCCCGCCCCACCGACCGAGGGGCCAGCCTGCCCCCTGGCCGCCCCTCCGCCGCCCTGCCTTTGTGCCTGCCGGGGGGCAGAGGAGGAGCTTGAGAAAAGTTTTGGGCTAAAAACCCACCTTTTTGCTGCCAGCCGAGCCCGACGTCAGGGGCCGCTGTGCGCTGCGCGGGGCTCCGCACGCGGCCGCCACACAAAGGCAGCAGCTCCGCACCGCTCCGCTCCGCAGGTGAGTGCGGCCCCCCGCCCACAGCTCTCGGTGTCGGGCCCCCACCCCAAGGCCCCGGGCACGGCGGCACCGCGCGCCCGACGCCACGGCCACGGGCGAGGCGAGCGGCGACCTCCCGTCACCTCCCCGGGGAGGCGGCACTCATCCAGGCTGAGGGCTCCCCGGAGCTGGAAGGGGCTTTGCCGGGTGGGGGATAGGCTCTGGCTGGGGAGGAGCTGCAGAAAAGGGCGACTGGGGCCGGAGAACCGGGAGCGATGACCCCCTGTGCGGGATCGCCTGAGAGGAGCCAAGGAAGAGCATGGAAATGCAGAAGGATGGAGTTTGGTAGGGAGTCAGGGCTCCTGGAGAGCAGACGGGTTGAGGCAGTGGCCCGGTATCCTAAGCCTCATTCCCCTGGGGAAGCACCCCACACTGGTTCGGGGAGAACTTAGCTGGTGGACATCCCCCGATCGGAGCCCGGGGAGCTGCCCCGGAGCGGGGCTCGACCACCTCCCGCCTCTCGGCAGGGCGAGGGAAAGAGGCTCTACGGGGCTCACGGCACAGCATCTACCCTGAGGAGGGAGCAGAGGCCAGAGGGGTGGAAGGGCGCTGCCTGCTCCCCTCTCTGCAGGGGCAGAACCCTTTTCCCTTGGAGCACCTTTTCCTCTCTGCGAGGGGAAGGTGAGGCCGCCTGCTGGAAAGCCGCGCATCCCCCCGGCTCTGCTTCCCTCGACCGCTCTAGGAAAGCCTGGCCGTGCGAACGCCTTGGCTCACGGGCACATGCTCGGTCTCCCCTTTCCTGGCAGCAGGGAGCTTCCTGCCGTCGTGGTGCTTGGCACTCCAGGCCGCGGGTTTCCCGAGCGCTGGGCTCGCTCCTCGAGTGCCGGGCTGCCTGCCCGGAGGCTGGAAGCAGCTCAGCCCGCGGAGGGAGGACAGCAGTCCTGCGCCCACCGCTGCCAGAGCCAGCTGCAATTTGAGCCGAGCACAGCCGAGCCGAGAGGTCCCACTGATGGAAAAGGGGCTGCTAAGGGGTGGGGGGTGCCAGCGCAGCCGTTCCCAGGAGCGCACGGGGACACCGCCGAGGGATCAGGAGCTGGGGAGGACATGTGGCCCGCATTAGGAGAAGTCAGTGGTACCACCTGGCCCGTAATGGTGTCCAGAGAGAGGTCTGAGCTTTTCCATTGCAATAGTGGGTATTTGAGCTCTGCTTCAGCTTCACCAGGTGATTTTTCTTTTTAGAGCTTCAGCATCACCAGGTGATTTTGTTTTTCTTTTTAGAGCTGATCCTAGATCATAAAAACCCAGGGCAGCTGGAGGAGGGGGGAAGGGAGAACAGAGACTGATATTATGTGAGAGCCAGCCAGCATCTGAGGAGGAGAGAAGCCAGGGCCCCACAGGGATGCAGGAGCAGTAGGGCTGTGCGAGCATGTCTGAAGGTGCTGTCAGCCCAGCCAGGAACAGTTCTTGTTTGCCTGGCTGTTTGGAAAAACAGTTGGGAAACTGCACCCTCTTTTCCTTACGAATGCTTTAGGATGAGCCATGACTGAACGTCCCTGCTGACTTTTGCCTGGGGAATATGATGTGCTGGGCCGAGCTTGGAAGCAAAT